CCTGTTGTTTCAAGAATCACTGCTGCTTCGATTACTGTTTTCATTAAGATTTCTACCATCATTGTTTTCAACGATGTCCTTTCAGCTAGTCTGATTACCTTGGTGATGAGGGTGATGATGGTAAGAGAAGTATGATCTTTAGCTTTATCAAAATTAGTAGTACCGTTATCTTTTTTAACACTTTCTTATGATTAGTTTGATTGTTATTACAACCAGTATCAACTCTGCTTGCGTTACTCCTACTATTGCTATTAGTTGTGGAGCTCTTGCAGGGAGCGTGCTATCAGATTGAGCTCTCGCCTTGAGCTTGCTCACATTTTCGCACCAAATAGAGCTCCCGTGTGGAGCTTCCTCACATTTTGGTCTTCAGAGTGCCAGGACCCCACAAAACCAAATATGTTTAAAACAAGCAGAAAAGAACCTAATCAATTCTACATCCCAAGCCAAGGCAACGCTCGTATTGTTCGAGACTCTGATTTGCGCGTGAGGTGTACTCGATGCAGTGCAAGTGCAACTTAGTAGCTTGAGCCTGCAAGGTGCACGATGCAGAAGCCCAGACGCATCCTCGGACGTCAATTGCTGCAGATCAACGAGCGGAAGTTAGTCTAGCATCTATAGACTGCTTTTAGCAAGGCACGGACTGCTTCATCGGTGGGTCACCTAGGAGTTGTGCAAGCTGCAGTAAGTCGCCATGTATCCTAGTCCAGGGCGGGCTGCAGGCTTGACAGAGAAACATCTGGACTAGTAGCATTTGCCAAGACGTCAAGGCCTCAGGTTCCTAAGCCCAGAGCGGCCGGCTTTGCAGTTTGCATTGCTCAACTGCGTTCAGACACCAATAGGATGGCCAATAAGGTACGCAGCATACTATGCTGGCCAGATGGCGTGGTATCCCAAGTGAATCCCCACTGTCTCAAGGACTCGTTGTAAGACCTCACCATGCCTACCTCAGGTTTCTGTTTCGAAAAGTGAAAAAGTGCCGCAAACTTATGCTGGCAGAAGCATGAGTGAAGTGTTGCTCGTGGCAGCCGTGGTCATGAGGCTACGTATGTGTATGTCAAGGGCATTACCCGCCCGACCGGCCTCCCCCCTAGTCTCTCACGGCAACATGGTCTCAACGCACACGTCCGACAAGTGGCTACTGTTTTGCCAGTGTCACTCTAGAGGACTATGATCACTGCCCCGCTGAAGTCCATAGCTGAGATTCTAGAAGCTGTAGCAGCTCTTCGACTGTGCCTTCGAATTGCGCAGCCCAGGTCGGTGCAGAACGGGCGAACCAAGCTTAGTGTGACAGGCAAGGCTGAAGCCTTCAAGTAATGTGGAGATTGCCTCAGTGATGCGAGTACAAGTGCTCTGCTCCGCAGCAGGGCCGGGAGGCCGGCCAAGCTGCACATGGGCCGAAGACTTAAAGATTCCAAAGCAAACACTTCTCCTTTCGTTGCATGCAACTTTTTTTTGACTCAAGGTACGACGTGTAGCACACTTCAGGGGACTGCAGGACAGACCATTGAGTTTGGTGGAGGCCATGCTGTTGGCCGGGGCTAAACTTGATTTGTAAGCGCAAGTTGGGTGCCTGCACGGAAGACCTTCTAATTCGGTGCATTTGGCTCGAACCAAGCGGGCGCTGTCCTGCAGTTTCATTTTGGGGGCTCGCCCTCAATGAAGTGAGGCCGAGTCACACTTGGCCCAGAGAGGTCTCCTGGCACGTGACCATGAGGCTTCTGAAGGCCTGCTGTGCCAAGTGGAATCTTGAGGAGAACAGCCGAACTGCGCAGCAGGCTGCAACGTGGCTCTTTCTGCCAGTGTCAGTCGCTCTTAAGGACGCCTTGCATGTACCAAAGTGTTCGGATGCTTGGCGCTTGTGGACAATTCCACAAGGTGTGTTGGTTGCCAGGAAGTCAGACATGACTCGGATGATGTCTCAGCAGATGCAGGCCAGCTTGTGCCAGCAGAGCAGCCAGCAGACCAGCCAATGCAAAGAGCCTCTTGAGGTGATTCTGCTTCAGCTCTTGAGCGAGGTATGCTGGGGCATATCATCCCTGGTTTGCTTAAACTGTCGTAGTGCGGACAGGTGTGACCTCGGTGCCAGCTGACGATGGTCAGGCGAAACAATCCATCAGAGTTGCAGTCTTGTGTCGCTTCTGCAGAGTAATTCGATGCAAGTTGTTTGCTTTGCAGTGGCTTGATCAGGTTGCCGCGGCACCGGTGAAGGAGGTCGTTCGAGTGCTCAAGGCACTAGCGAAAAGGGCGGATGTGCGAGACAGGACCTGACTAAGGAATGTCTAGCTAGCTGTCCTACAGGTGATCTGAACTGCAGGAGGGAAAAGCAGATTTATGAGGAATTTGGAAGCTACTGCCACTCGGCACTGCAATCGCTGTCCGTCAAACACTCTAGTCACAATGGAAGGCAACAGGATCCACTTAGTTTAAGGGCCATCCGGCAACGGCAGCCTGCTAACAATTTCATGACAGCAGTAGCCCGGCTGCCACAAGGTTCCAAAGGAGATGCATCCCTAGAAAAAAGCCTGAAGGAGGGGCTGCTTGACCTTGCTTGGCCTTACGTTGCACATGGCCTGGTTTGCTTTCACTGGAGGAGTCGCAGTCAGAGCTGCCTCACTTGCAGCTGGCTCTCGTTGAAGCGGAACGGAAGCGTCAGGCACTCCAAGAAGAAATCAAGGCAGGCTGCAAACTCTTCTGCACTTCGAGAAGTACGAAGGCGTTCAGCCTACTTTGCCTGTGGAAGGCTCACGAAAACGATGCAGCAGCTTGCAAGTCCGCCTTGCAGACGGCTCAAGCCATTCGTTCAGACGAAGCTCAAAGCTACAAGAAGGACCCAAGTGCTGCAGCATAGCTTTGGGAATTCACTTCACGCGATCAGATGCTGCAGGAGCTTGCTACGCTGACAGCAAATCAACAGCGATTAGAGGAGCTGTTGGATGCACAGGACCACCAGGGCAAGCTTTCTCTGACTCTGTTAAGATGGAGGACATCTAAGTCAGACAACACTTTGATTTGGGTAGTTCACCTTGACTTGAAGCCCAGCTCTGCGAGGGACGACGGTCACGTTCATTTCTGCACCGCTTGAGATGCTGTATTCTATGACGGAGGGATCAACTGACACGACATGCGCTGCGCCAACTTTTCGTAATCATCAGCCGACTTCAGCAGCCTGATGACTGGGGCCCCGGCGCAGCACAGCAAAGGAAGCATGGAACACGGTGGAGGGATATCCCCATACGTACGAATCAAAGAAAGAAAGCCGCTTCATGCAGCCATGCGAGAAACGATACGCTTGGTGGAGGGATGCGGTTCACGGCTTCTGCGCTGCATGTATGTTGAAGACAGGATGTTGGAGGAAAAACCCTCCAGGAGAAGACGACAGAGCCTCTCGACTGTCAATGGCAAGCCGACGTAGTCAGGTGCCAGAAAAGCTACTGCAGCAAGAGCATTTTCATTCTTTCTTTCACGGATGCCGCTTTCTCCAAGGTCAACAGGCATCCCGGCATCCATTCACTCCCCTAAAGTAAGAGTGGCAGAGCACTGGAAGAAAGGTGCAGAGAAGAGCAGCAAGTTGATCCAGATGAGTGATGCAGCTTCCTTCCAGAGATTGACTTTGTCGGCAAGCAGCTGCACAGCTGCACCTTCAGATAAAAAGGAAGAGCAGAGCAACAGCAGACCTGCAGAAGGATGCACATGTCGTGCCAGGCACTGCAGAGCTTATGGAGGTACTGCAAGCGCCGGATGCGACTGCCGGCCAAAAGATCCAAGTCATGGAGCCTCAGCTTTAGTGAGCTTTAGTGTTGCTGCTTTTCTCTGTTCGTGAAAGGGTAGTGTGAAAGCTTGAAAACCATTGTCTCAAGGAGATGCTGAGGAACATGCTGGACTGCCACTGAGACAGATTGTTGAGTCCAAGCCAGAATCAGTTGGCTGCCAAACGGGAAGGACGGAGTAAAGAAAGACGTGAAGGAGCTGAAGGCACAGGAGGCCAAGCGGGCGGCGGTCTTTGCTGCGATGGAGCTCCTTGGAATGCACATTGGTTCACAGCGATTCAGGCCTGCGAGTGCCATCTGTTGGAAAGGAAAGCCAAGACAGATGAACTCAAGTCTTTGCAGAGGACGTAGTTAAGTTGCCTCGACGTAGACATGGCATCCCTTCCGTGGGCTGTGAGGAGTCTCCAACAGAAGAGTGAGCGCGATGCGGCCTTTCAAAAACAGATGGCAACCGTTCGCATGGAACGCCAGGCAACGGTGCACACAATGGCAAAAAAATTGGAGCAATCGGTACTGATTTGAAAAGTTGACTGAATTGGTAGGATACCGCTGCTGTGGTGGACGATGCTGACAAGCTCGGAAAGAGCCTGCAGAATTGGTGCGATATTCGACGCAGTCAGCATTCCTCAATGATACTTGGCAGCCACCTCCTGGCAGTGTTCAGCATCTAGCAACTTACCAGCCACTAAGCAAAAGCACATCCAAGGCAGCTTGAGCTTAAGGATGAGCAGAAGGCTTTGCAGGGTGCAGCCAAGCTCATGCACCGGCCTTGGCCTTCTAAACGCTTTGAATGGATGTGCAGTTCTTTTGCAATTTGACCTGCAGTTTGCCCCGCAGGCTGAGCGGGACGGACCTTGAGATTTTCAAGCCAGCTCCTTTGGTGACCTTCCTGCAGGTGGTCCAGAGGCACGATCCTCGAGTGCGTGCTGGCTTCAAATTCAAATGTGTCGCCAAGAAGCAGCAGGCATGAGGCTTCGCAAGCGGAGCACCGGGCGTTGAGAGGAAAGTCGAGCTGCTTGGATGATCCATAATAATGGCCACTTGGGCATCGCATTGCTGCCTCGGGCGGTCCTTGCAGGCCCTGCCCTTGAGAAAATCACGAAGCTGGTGGACTCTATGGTCTCTGTACCTCTCTCAGATGGCCTCATTTGAAGGACGAAGGCTCTGCAGGCCTATGCACGTTCCGGTCAGGTCTTGGAGAAGGCGCAGGAGGATGACAATCTCAAGATTCAGATGTGCAAGGACGTTGGATGGCAGATGGGACGGACACATGCAGAGAAAAAGACCTTCTGAGACTGCGAAGGATGAGACGGCGTCAGCTGAGGACGCCAAAACGGCACTAAGTGAGAAGGCGGAGTCCAAGGCTGCGGACATTGCCACGAATCTTGGCTCAGCAAAGCCAGGGAGTAGCCAGGGTTACATCTGATGGCAACACCTAGGCTGAGTGAGCAGCTGGAAACGCTGGAGCGCGATGTTGCTGCCGAGAAGCCTCTGGGCTCACTTGACCAAATTGGTTTGTGCTGCTGGCAAGCAAGCATGGCATTGAGGAAGGCCATTACCCGGGTGGACTGGGTTGTCGCCACTGCCACAAAGCTCCGCGAGAAGGAGCATAAATATTTGGCAACATCGATTGCCCAAGGCCGCTGCTGCAAAAAGTGCTGTTGCAGCCGCAACTGGTAATCGTCTTGAAATAAAGGGCATGCTTGCAGAGGCGCTGCTGCGGTGGATGCTGCTGGGACGCATGGAGTCCATTGCGGTTGCAAGAGCAAGTACATGAAGCTTTGCACGATTTGAGCCACGAGGTCATGCATAAAGCCATGAACTCCCTCGAGAAGTACCTGGATGAGGCTCCTGCTTCGAACTGTTGAGACCGGACTCTGCCAACCTACCAAGCAGGGCGGAACCCTCGGTGGCCAAAAAGCCAAGCCAGACGATGAGGACCCCACGCATTTGACTAGCCTCACTTTGGATTTTTTTGGGCTTGCTAGATGATGCAGCATAGAAAGAGAGCGCGAGAGAAAGACAGGTGTCGCAGTGTTACTTAAGTACTTGATGCATCTCGTACTGCGTTTTCGCGATCTGACAGTAAGCAGTGAGCGGGTTTGGGCCTTGACTGGAACCTGCGCCAGTTCAAGGCTGTGCTGCGGTCCTCCTCGCCAGGGGAGGGCAGAGCTGTGAGAGGAAGAAGAAGAAGAAAGACACGTCGGTCTGAGTGGGCGGCTTGAGGCTCACATGTGTGTTCAGAGTTCAGACCAAACTCTCCCGATCACGGGAGCTCGTTCCCACACCCGGAAGAACCGGACATGGTTGCGAAGAGTACTGCCACTTTGCACACTCAGCATCTTCAACAACCTCGCTCTCCGCTTCTTCCACTACAAGCGAGATCCTTTTCGGGAACTGCTGTTTGTGGATGGCGTGAGGAGAACACTGACAAAGCCTACCCCATCTCTCTGGCAACATCCAGCGAGCTTTGGCATTATTTTTTTGAGTAAGCAAATGAGGAAGCAAGCACTTCAACTGTAGGAAGATTGCGGCCAGGCGACGTCCGTGGCCCAATTAGGTGCACAGCTACAGCCGACAACAATTTGGCGGTCCAGGCAACTTCCATGGCCTAACTAGGTTCAAGTTAGTGAGCCCTGTGGGTACCATCTGACACCAGGCAGTCTAGAGACGAGACACCTTTGCAAGCAGTGGCGCTTTCTACCCAAAGTTATTCTGAGGGCTGTTGTTTGCTCCATGTGCATCCTGCTAGCTTTCTGCTGGTGCTGCAGCTGCTATGGCTCCGAAGTCCTGGGGTCTGAGGAAGCCAGGAAAATGAACATGGGAAAATGTTATTTTGTAAGCAACTTTTAGCTAGCTGCAAGCCCTGTTACCACAAATTTGCCAGAGGCGTGCCAAAGGGTGTCCGGCAGGGAAGCCTGCAAAGTTGTCATACGTAGATTTCGTAGGTTGGCATGCAGGAGTTCGGCTTCTTGCTGGAGTCGGCCTCGCCAGGAACTGATGCAAAAGCTGCATTGAGGCTGGAATTCTTTTCTTAAAGCACTAGCCCTGACAGCCGGTCCGGCAAAGCAGGTCCCTGCAAGGCGTTATCGAAGCCGTGCGCGCCGAAGTGGAGCAAGTCAGACTTCGACCCTCAGCTGCAAAGCCCGCAAGAGTTGATGTGATCCGACTCATGCGCAACATCTGCCGACACTGGCCGAATTTTCTGCTCCTAGACTACAGTAGTCTAAGGCTTCAAGCTGGCCCACTTTCAGTGGACGGGTTGGTTTTGGGTCTGCTCTCTCTCGGGGTGCGTGCCACCTATATGAGCAGCATCATAACAAGCATCACCTGCTCCCCGGCAAATTCACCAAGACCAATTTCACAATTTCCAAGCACATCAGCAAGCTGGAATCGCAGCATTGGGCACTCAAGAATCCACAGCCTGAAGATGAAAGGGAAACAGCTGGCCTTTCAAGAACGAAGCAGGAAGAAACACAACAGGAGGGGAACAGACAGGACATAGGACATGACGGCAGCAGGCACAGCCAGACGCAGCAAGGATTAAATGCCGGGGACGCCGTGTATGGATCTTTATGGAATCTTCGTATATGGCCACGCACATCATGGCATAAGATGACCGGGTCAGGGTTCCTAGCTATCCTACCCTCCGAATCTTCGTTTCGCAAAAGCATTGCAAGAAGCAGACCAGACCACAGAAATGTCATGCAACAGGCGCGGTGGACAACAATGGCGGTGGAAAGAGCCGCTGGCCGCCGGCCTGGCAACGCAACAGTGGAAGACATGTTTGGACTGCACTTACAGAAAGCTTGCCAACTTCCTGGTGAGGAAGGAACCGCTCGCTTCACGACTTTTGAATGAACCAATGAAGAGGAAGAAAATCATGGCCGGATCGTTGACGCGAACTCCCAGTGGAAATGGCAAGCCGCGCAGATAGAGCACTTGCATAAGCTGTCACGCGGCCTGCTGGCAACAATGTAGTAGACCAGGCCATGTGCTTACTCTGGGAGTCTACTGATCAAGCCTCACCATAGTGACCGCCGACAGCATCTCTAGATCTAGGTGTTTTAGTGAGGGAGCACGGAGAACAATTATTTACTTCGAGCATCCCCACCCTGAAGCTCTAATTGGACAAGAAATGTAACGTTTCCTGGAAGATTGGGGAAGCTCTGCGGTTGGGCACTGCAGGGATACTCTGCGGTTGGGCACTGCAGGGATACTCTGCGGTTGGGCACTGCAGGGATACTCCGTGGTTGGGCACTGCAGGGATACTTGGTGGCTGGCTGCAGGGATACTCTGCGGCTGGGCACTGCAGGGATACTCTGTGGTTGGGCACTGCAGGAACACGTGGCCATTGAGCACTGCAGTCAGGCTCCTGGCGGAGGGCGAGGACAACATAGACTTTAAAATCTCACAACCCCGCAGCGAGGGTGGGGAATACCCCCCTGCGAGGATACTTAGTGGTTGAGCACTGCAGGGATACTTTGCGGTTGGGCAGCGTAAGGAAACTCTGCGGTTGGGCACTGCAGGGATATTCTGCGGTTGGGCACTGCAAGGATACGTGGTGGTTGGGCACTGCAGGGATACTTGGTGGTTGGGCACTGCAGGGATACTTGATGGTTGGGTCCTGCAGGGGTGCCGGGATATTTGGTGTTTGGGTACTGCAGAAACACTTGGTGGTTGGG